AGTTCAAAGTGTCTCTTTCCCGGTAAAAAAGATTGAGAGAAAAAAAAATACACTTTTTGAGAAATTAAGTTTAAAAAAAATTTTCACTTTTTGTTTATTGTTAAATAAAAAATTTTAAATAATGATAATCAATAATTATATCATTCTATCTTGAAGTGACCAGAATTACTGACATTTGAGTAAAAACATTGTTGGAATCTATTAAATTTTGACAAAGTTATGGGCATTTTAAAAAAACATTCTCACTGTCAATTCGAAAAGTTCACCCAACAAATTCAGTTGGCGGCGTGGAATAGTACACCCACACCAAAATCAGCTCCTCAGGGAAAAAGATACCCACCCTTTATAAGGAACTTAGTGACAAAAAAACGGAAATTACGAAAACGCTGGCAGCAAACCAGATCTCCAGAAATTAAATCGAAACTGAACTTAGCAACTAAACAGCTACACACAACTATCAAGACATTTAAAAACGACGCATTTAATCGGTTCCTGATTGGTCTCACGGCTGATAAAAGCACGGAATACTCCTTGTGGAAGGCGGCTAAAAATTTCAATAGACCAATGCAACACATTGCTCCCGTTAAAATCAATGAAAGGCAGTGGGCCAAAACATGTGAGCAAAAAGCGACACTGTTTGCTGAGCATCTTGAAAAGACCTTTAGCCCTAATGATGGCTTGAATGAAATAGAAGCAACTGGATGCTGGTCTGAATGCGATATCCATTTTAGTCCATTTACACCGGAAGAAGTTGGCATACAGATTAACAAAATGAAATTAAAAAAGGCTCCTGGATTTGACTTAATAACGGCTGAAGTTCTTCGCAAATTACCAACAAAATGCATAGTTTATTTGACCAGCTTGCTAAATAAGTGCTTTAGCTTGAAGCATGTACCTATATATTGGAAATTCGCGCAAGTTACTATGGTACCCAAGCCTGGCAAACCACCCAACGAAGTGTCCTCATATAGGCCTATATCCCTACTACCAGCAATGTCGAAGCTATTCGAAAAGCTGCTTTTAGCTCGGCTAATGCCAATTATTGAGAACAAGAAATTGATTCCCGTTCACCAATTCGGTTTCAGGAAAAATCACTCAACGATTGACCAAATACACAGAGTTGTAAGCACTATTGAAAAGGCTATGGACGAGAAGAAAGTGTGTTCCGCAGTTTTCCTTGATGTATCGCAAGCATTCGATAAGGTTTGGCACGTAGGGCTACTTCAAAAGCTTAAGTCCATGCTACCAATACATTACTGCAAGATGCTTTCGTCATATCTCAATGACAGGTACTTTTGCGTAAAATACGAAAATGCCTTTTCATCTCTAAAGAAGATAAGCGCTGGCGTACCACAGGGGAGCATCTTGGGACCTCTACTATATCTCCTGTACACATGCGACCTACCATCGGCCAATCAGTATGTAACCGCAACATTTGCAGATGATACTGCGCTACTTGCAGTCGATAACACTATCGAAAATGCTACGACCAAGCTACAAGAAGCTGTTAACCAAGTTACCTCGTGGGCTAAGAAATGGAGGATTAACCTAAATAAAAGCAAATCAGCGCACATAGTGTTCTCTTTAAAAAAAACATCACATAAACCAATTTTTATTGACGGGTCAATAATCCCATACTTCGACGAAGCCAAATACCTGGGTATTACACTCGACGCCAAATTGCGCTGGAAAGCTCACGTCAAGAAAAAACGAGATGAGCTTGATCTGAAATTTAACAAACTATATTACCTCATTGGTAGGCGCTCAAGGTTGACAATTCACAACAAAATTCTCGTATACAAACAAATTCTAAGGCCAGTCTGGACTTACGGCATACAATTCTGGGGATGTGCTAGTGTGAACTGCATTACTTCCATCCAACGTCTGCAAAATAAAGTGCTTCGAGGCATAGTAAATGCGCCATTCTACGTAAGAAACAGCGATCTACATCGTGATCTTGGCATGCCAACTGTCACTGAAATGACGAAACAATTCGCCATAGCTCACAAACAGCGATTAGTAGGTCACGTCAACGTAGCAGCGTCCAGCTTACTTCGGCTGAATCCTACGCAAAGACGGCTAAAGCGCACAACAGTAGCAGACCTTATGCAAAGCGAGTAGCAGAAATTTATTTTTACTTATATGTCTTTTGAGCATGTATTTAAAATATAAAATGCTTTTTCTTGTAAACTAAAATTATTAAATTAAAATTGCTTGTTAGTATCATTATTTATATACTAGTTGCAATAATAAGACGTTTCTGTAAATTGTCTAAGATTCGTTAACAATAATAAAAAAAAAAAAATAAAAAAAAAATTCGAAAAGTTGATTTTTGCCTGAAAAACAAAATCGCGTTTAATTCGGCCGAGAAATTTTTCCGAGGCAAAAGAAAAAATATGTGTCTCATTATTTGGACCAACAAACAATGTATTTGAGTTTGGTCGAAATTAAAAATCATGCTCGTACCTGACCGGTTGTCTGGAAATGGAAAGCATCATATGTATATAGATTTGAACTAACCCTGGTATTTGGGTATAGGGGTTATTAAAATCCATGTAGGAGCCTCAAAACTATCGCATTCCTATATACACAGCTCTGGAATACTTGATTTTTAACTTTGACTTTTGTTTTTGCCTGAAAAAATAAAAGTCAACAATTACCGGTTATTTTCTGCTCAAAAAAATAAAAGGCAAATTTTAACTTTTATTTTTGCCTTAAAAAAATAAAAAGCAGAAGTAACCGGTATTATTTGCTCAAAATAATAAAAGTCAAAAAATAACTTAAATTTTTTTACTTTTATTATAAAATGCATAACCGGTACGGTCTCTGCTTTAATTTGCTTTGATTTACTTCAAATACTCGTTTGGCCAAATGGCGGCTTGGAACGCTGTCAAAGCTACCAGCTGTGTAGTTAAGAAATCAAGCTCTGTTCCCTTACACTAAGAATAATTTTCCCACAAAATTCCAGAAAATTAAAAAAAAAAAGAAATACAAAACAATCTTTTCGGATTTATTTTGAAATTAATGCGAATTAATTTTTAGATTTCAAGGGAATGATAATAATTATACTTCTATAGATAAATGTACATTTATTAAAAAAAAAAAACAGTTTTTCCAGAGACGACTGACCAGTAACCATTATAAATATCGCTAGCTTTGTGTGCAAATCTGCTTAGTCCACCCTTTTTGAAGGCAAAATTTCTAGTCCAAAAGAGACCCCGAAAATCCGTTAAGGCCAAAATAATACGAAATCTTTTAGTAAAGATCGAATCCTTCTGATTCGAATGGAGTTTTGCTTTGCTTCAAACACGCAAAATGTTGTATTCAAAGTTCCCGTCAAATTTGTAACAATGGACTAAGCAACTTTTTCAGCCATATTTAAATATAAATATGGAAACATAGAATCATTATTATTAAACTTTGAATTACTTATATTATATATTTTTTTTTAAATTACGTCAGCAAACTTTTGTTCATAAAAGTGTGCAGCAGTTTGTTTGAATTCATTAAGAACGGGAACATACCTTTTTGTCAAAAGCCTACAAAACGCTTTCAAATAAAACATTTGCCTATTTGAAACTTTGAGGCGCTTAAAGCAAGTGAAGCAAAGCTGCCATTTGGTCAGCCTTCATACGCGCCTTTATCCACCTGATAGCTGCCAACTGATTGATCAACTCAACGTTGGGCTGGCTGGCGAAATGCATTTTATTGAGAATTATACGCAAACGTCAAGCTGTGAAGTTCTACTTATATCGTGCCTTGATTGGTCTTTGTATTTTGCAAAGTTTATTGTGCTAATTTTGAGTAAAAGTTGCTATAAAAAGTGCCTACGAGCATCTTAGTGTGATAATAACCGAAGCTAAGTGAAAGTTTTGTGATTTTTGTGGTTTATATTAAATTTAATTAAATTTCACTAGCATACATCTAATCTTACCGAGTCATTTGTTGTTATCATTGTTGTTGTTATTCCTTTGTAGTTAACTGAGATCTGCACATTTCTTTTTGCTCTTTTTGTTTACTTCGTTTAGTATTTCTTGTCACAGCTGTTTGCGCTGCGTTTATTAAGTGTCACAATACAGTGATACTCAAACTGTTCGCTACATATATTTTAAGCTAAATACATCAGCTCCTAAATTGTTGTGTGTGTTGTGTTAAACTTATTTTGCTTGTCTTTTTAT